AATATTGTTTTTTTCATAAAAGAGAAATGCAAGTTATAGAACCGTGTTTTGTCTACAAAAGGTAGACCGATATTTTGATTTATGCTCTGAATCAAGAAGTAAATTCAGAATTCCCTTATCAGTTAGTTCATTCAATGTTATTTAAGATGTAATTAGGTTCAGCTTTGAGTATATGAAGCAATATACAGCTCCCTAGGCTCAAATCATTCCCCGGCTGCTGCTGGGCTGTAACACTATACAAAGCATGGGGATGGTAAGTTTGTCATTTATCATTTCTGCTATGTATATTATCCTGTGAATGCGTGAGCTGCTTATTTAATACAATGCAATGTATGCCATACACATTTGTCAGCCAGCTTTCTTTAAAAAAATAAATAAAAAAATACACAAATGCAGATTAAAAACTCTGTGTGATCAACCATCTTTTATTTAAACCATTGCACTGTCTTGTGGTTTGTTTGTTTTTTTTCTGTATTGTTTGTTGTGATATTACATCCCTTTCAATCCTCTGCTGAAGAAAAAAGATGAATCCGTTTTACAACATGCACAGTTAATGTCTAAATTATTTAACCAACATGCCCATTCTAATTATGTGACTTGGCATGTGCAGTCACTTTCTCATTGCAAAACCTGATTAAATTGCTTTCAAAGGTGTAACATATCTCAGTATCTATTATTCTGTTATGCTCTTCTCCTGCGTTGTTTCACGCATGCACTACATCGAACAGGTTTTGACTTTCTTTCCTTAGTATCATTTTATTATTTGCATTATGTTTCTTGCAAAGAAAAGCAGCTTAATAGTAAAAGCAATCCTAAGGCATTTTTTGTTTTTTTTATTTACTTGTTTTCTCTTTGCAGAAGTTGATTTAGATATACCTATAATTCAGTGATGTCATATATATCACCTACAGAACAAGTTCCCAGTAGGTTAGGATTACATCTATTACATAAAATCAAAGCCTGTGAGAAATTGTCAATTTTACCTTCACCCTGGGAGTAAAGTGGATGCAGTGTGTGTATATTTGATACATTGTAAGTGTAATGGAAGGAGTATGTGTGTAGTGAATGCAAGATGTATGTAGTGGATGCAAGGTGTATTTAGTGGATGCTGTGTGGGTGTAGCAGATGCTGTGTGTGTATGTGTTTGTTTAAAATGGAATGCAGTGTGTGCTTGTGTAGTAAATGCAGTGTGTTTGTGTAGTGAATGGAGTGTGTGTGTATACATTTCTAGGGTAGGATAGGAGTTTATCTGGGCAGTGAGCATTTTCTCTCTCTTTTTTTATTTTATTTAAAAAATATATATATTTTTATTTTATTCCCCCTCCATGCTTCTCAGCTGTGGCCAGGGAGGGGGGACATTTTGTGGTCGGAAGGCACAGTGCAGACTCCTGCTTGGTTTATACAGAAGAGGGGGGCCCCAACTCCATGTTACACCTCCAGCAGCAATGCAGCAGCTCTTCTCCCTCTTTTGCAAGCTCAGCATGCATGCTGGTTGGAGAATTGCCACGGCAACCCACGGATAGACGGGAAACGTGAGAAAACACTGCTGGTGTATTCTGGAGTCTTCTGGGAGATAGATAGACTCCAGGACCAAAGTGCCCCCGGGCGTGCCCTGTGTACCGAAACTGTCAGACTTTGTATTCGCTGACAGCAGTGGATTACAAGGTCAGAGGGGGACTTTTCCCCCAGGACTGTCCTGCACATCAAAACAAAAAACATGCCTATTTTATTATTATAGTTTAATTGTTTATTTTTTCTAGAGGATTGATATCTGTATTTTTAGCTGTGACGTATGCAGAAATTAATTATTTCTATTGAAAAATCAAGAAATGTATTTGTCTGTAAACGTCAATGGAGATAAACACTTTCAGGAATTTCTTGCAGAAATATATAAATGCGTAGAAAATCTGCAATTACTTCTAAAAAGTTCTAAGATTATATTTTTTTCTTTCCTAAAGCTGAATGCGCTAACGGTCACATAACACTCATAATTAATTGAAAAGCGTTTGATGGATCAGTGTGACGAGGATGGCGGCTGTACTTCGGATCCTCTATTTTTGATGATAATGAATCATAATTAAATCTATTAGTTCATGTAAGTTATAAATAATTAATGTATGACTTGTGTCAGACATACATTTCAATTCTAAATCTTGTAGAGATCCTGAAAGTGATCCTTGGCAAGGTAGGTCTTATATCACCTAGATATGAATAATAAGAAAACTCAGTATCGTTCTCCAACTCTACACTCGAACATGGTCGGCACTGTAAAATAATTAAAACTGCAATATATATATATATATATATATATATATATATATATATAAATCTATCACATTCTAAACAGATAATACAATATTTGAGAGGGTCGTGTAGGCCAAGAGTCATAATTTCTATAACAAATGCAATGTACTGCATTCATTAAAGGGACACTGTAGGCAATGTAACTGCTTCATCTTACTGGAGTGATTATAGTATTTGGCATCCTCTGGTGCCATTTTTCCATTCAATGGAAAACTATTTTGATGTTTTAATGCTGTGCAAATTTCCCAACAGCTAGTCCCCATGTGCCGCTTTTAGCCTATCACAGCACCTATTCACGTATGAATCTGTATGGCTAGAAGGAAATGTGTAATACGTGCCTAAATAAGCCATTGACCCTTATTTAGTGTTAAACTACTCAAAAATAGTTTAACACTGGATGTACAGTGCTACGGAACTTGGTGGTGCTTCATAAGTAATAATAATAATGGGAAAGTGCAGTGGAACGCCGGGCACCGTAACTAATTAAACGAGATGAAATGTTTACAGTGCCTATAATGTCCCTTTAACCCCTTAACGACGAGGACGGTTCAGGACCGTCATTGGCATTTTTGCTTTGCCGACCGGTGATGGTCCTTAACCGTCCTAACGGTAAGATGTACTTACCCGATCGCCGTCGTTCCCCTGGCGGCGATCGCGTTGCTCCCGGTGTGGGGAGACTGCCTGCAGCCCAGACAGTCTCCCCATGGCAGATTAGGACCCATGTGATCGCTCAACAGAGCGGTCACATGGTCACAATAGGTGTCCTAGTGTCTGCCTGCAGGGGGACTGCCTGTGCTGATATATTTAAATGCTACGTGCGTATTTATGTAATATTTTTAAATAATTAAGTAATTTTATTAATTGCAATTTGAGGGACCTGCCTGCCAACCCAGGCCGAAAGTCCAGAGAATTTAATTTGCTAGCACTGTATTTTACCCTGTAACGTTCTACGACACCCTAAAACCTGTACATGGGGGGTACTGTTTTACTCGGGAGACTTCGCTGAACACAAATATTAGTGATTCAAAACAGTAAAGCATATCACAGCGATGATATTGTCAGTGAAAGTTACTTTTTTTGCATTTTTCACACACAAACAGCACTTTTACTGATGATATAATTGTTGCGATACGTTTTCCAGTTTTTAAACACTAATATTTGTGTTCAGCGATGTCTCCCGAGTAAAACAGTACCCCCCATGTACAGGTTTTATAGCATTTTTAAAAGTTACA